TATCAGCGATTTGCTAGAAGAAATCGAAGCAATACATGTACATCTAATATAATACAGGCTCGGAATAAGTTTTAGCCCAGGGGATCAATTTTCAAAACAAACCAAGGGGTCACACTTGATCATTTTGGCCCGAAATCACTTAACAGTGCTCAGATTGGTAAAAAATGTAGGATTTTGAAAGAATTTTGGCAAGGGGGGGGGGGGATTTACTTGAACCCCCCCCCCTCCCTGGCCATGGACCTATACCAAATTCGTAATGTATTGATATATAGCAGTTTTGTGTCATAAATGTTTTGTGTTGTTTGTGAAATGATTAAAGGTGTTTGTGTCTGTGTAAGAGGGGGCTTTAAGTGTTGTTTGTTGTAAACTTAATTTGACAGAAAAACAATTGAGTTAAATTGTGAGGAAACCCAATAGAGTAAAAATGTGAGGAAACCCATTGATTAAAAATTAACTTTCTATTGAGTCAATCAATTAAATCCAAATTTTAACACAATGTTAATCATAACATAAGGGACATTATACAATCAAATATATATGAAAAACTTAATTTGCAATTTATTTTTCAGTTGAAATTAGAACCATTGGCTGTTGAAATTAATCCATTAACTCAAACGAACAGATTATTTATCAGTGTGAACAAAACTCAAATCATGGAAATTGAATAATCAGAGATTAAAGTTTGACTTATTATATTGCTCTGGAATGTCAATACATGTATGTGAATGGTGAAAAACTACATGATTTTGACAGAATTGTTGGCCACGGGGAGGGGGTCCTCAGCTACGGGTCTGTATAAAATGCGTAATGTGTTTATTGAATATTGAGCAGTTCCCTGTCATGACCGTTTTTCCGGTTGGCAAAGTGAATACAGGTGGTTGTTTGTACCTGTGTAAGAGGGGATCGATTTAAATGTTGTTTGCTATAAACTTAATGTGACAGAGAAACAATGGATTAAAAATGTGAGGAAAAAAAATTAATTAAAAATTCAAAAATTAACTTTACAATGAATTAATTGATTGAATCAAAAATTTAACACAATGTTAATCATAACATGAGGGACATTATACAATCAAATATGTATGTAAAAACTTATTTTGCAAATTATTTTTGTGGAATTTAGAGCCATCAGCTGTAGAGATTAATCCATTAACCCTAACAAACAGATTAATTATCAGTATGAATGAAACTCATTTCATAGGAATTGAATAATTAGGGATTAACGGCTCGAAAATAACCGCGTATAATAGGTTTTTGATTGCAAATGCCAACATATTATTTGCTCCTGACAGGAATATTATTCTATATTATTCGGCATTATATGTTGTTCCCTTTAAATAATACACGAATAATATTATTAAATCAAAAATAATTCTTAAAAATACGTATTATATTTTTTTCCGTTATAATAAAAGAAATAACTGCCTATTATACAGGAAAAAATATTCTCTACGATTCTCTCTTAATGCAACTTATTTAGCAGTATATTAAACATTTTATTCTATATTATTTTTACTTTTTTACCAAGTGTCATATACAGTTAAACTGTGTATATTGAAAATTTCTTGCCGAAAAATTATTCAGTGTTGATATGTATTAACAACAGATTGAGTGGAGAGTCTGTGAGGAGTAAGGGTGTCCACTAGAAACAGGTGTTTACTAGAGAGAGAGTGCTGTTCACTAAGACAGGTTTTATTGTATTTGAAAATAAAAAGACCAACAACGTTTTTTCGAAAGTCACCTTCTTCGAATTCATGACAATAGCTATTAAATCGGTATTTTCAAACTTTGTCCATTTTGGATTATCCGAGGGACGAATTAAAAAGACAATATTAGCAATCTGCTCTAAAATGCCTTCGATTTGACTACAATAAACTCATACTTCGAAGAGACTTAAAACAACTCAACGTCCTGCCTTGACATGGTTATTTTGAATATTCCGATTTGAAAGCAGAAATACCGAAGATTTTAAATACGAATATGTGAAACTTTGAAACTATAGAACTATAGTACATTTCACTGATACTGCACTCTTCAAACTAATTACCGAAACGGATCCGTTTCGGTAACAAAATGTCGGAACTGCGGAGGTACGATTTTTCATTATATCACGAGTTGTAGGCAGAATTCCCACAATATTTTATCATAAACGTGTGTCAGTATCATGTTTAAGAAAATATGCACGTTTGTGAACAAAAATAGTTGAGAAGACAACAGAATCGTCCATTTAACACCTCTACTATTATCCTAATAAACACTACACATAGCATTGCAAGATGTGATTTTCAAGACGTATTACGAAATATGATCAACACCTGTTCTTCTTAAACGTCTTAGAGATGTAAAAGCCTCATGAAAAATCATGAAGATCAGTTCAGTACTAGCTGAAGGTATTGCTACGTAAACAGTTTTTGAAGTTCCGTTTATGTAACCAATCTTAGGAATTATATGGACGATTCTGTCATCCCACGAACTATTTTGTAAGAAATCACTTGGATTTCCATAAATATATAATGCGAACATATGTTTGCGCCGAAAAGATTGGGATGATTTGTGCTATATTTGTGCTATATCTCGAGAAATCAGTGAAAAGAAAAAAAACTAATTACCAACCGGAATCGTAGCCATTTTGTTACCAAAACGGAAACAACGTAATATAGTTCAGTACCAGTGATTTAATAACCTTAAATAGAATTGCGGGATATGTCCGAAACACTTGCACATTTGTAATTTCCATTCTAAATATGAATCTCTTACCCCCCTATCACACCAAACTAGTTCTTACCCGTTCTTGCCAGTCCTACGAAAATGTCGTCAAACGGGCTCAATCTGGCTGTGGTCGGGAAATATGTCTGAAATAATTAGCTTCTCCGTTCTTAAACAGTCTTCAATACGTCCATCTCGTTCGCAGTTCGTTCAGGTCGCACCACGTCGGAGTGCAACGTCGTAGAACGCGCCCCTTAGTCTAGAAGGTCAACATGACCTGATTACAGAACGGTATGGTCGTCATCGAATTTTGAATCGATTCAAAATTCTAAAATCACATTCCCGTCTGAGAACGTTCATAAAGTTCGTAAATAGACCTTAGAAAGTTGCAGCTACGTTCATTCCGTTCGCACACAGTTTAAAACCAGTTTTAAAGAACGCAGTGGCAACTTGTTTGGTGTGATAGCTATATTTTTGCTAACTCGTTCATAAGCAGTGTTAAATACGTTCTTAATCAGTTTAAACCCGTTTGCAATTAGTTCTACCTCGTTCTCAACACGTCCGCAGACAGTTCAACTCGTTGTTAAAACGTCCCTAGTAGGATTGAAGTACGACGGTTCCGTTCGTTGTACGTCCAGCTCGTCGTTAGTACGTTGTCACTCGTTCTAATTGTAGAACGTGACGACCACGAGAACATTTTGAGCATTGTCTAAGTTCTAGAGGACCTACCCGTTCGAGTACGTTCGATGAAGTTTGTAAATAGATCCCAAACGGTTCTTAGTCCAGTCCGTTCGTATACAGTTGAAGCCCGTTTTCGAGAACGCAGTGAGAACTAGTTTGGTGTGATAGTAGGGTTAAGAATTGTGAAATTCCACAATTGTAATCGTTTTCCAAAATATGAATAATGATATGAATTCTCTTAGAAATTGCCAGATTCTTCACATTAGCACATTTATAATGTTCATCCTAAATATGATAGATGATGCTTATTTCCTAAAATTAATACGCTTACGTTTTGCAACAGTATTCACATCTAATACTGAGTGTAGAAAACACTAGTATTGATTTGTGTCATCAGATAGTGTGAATATGATATAAGTTTCCATCAAATTAATGTAACTCTCATTTGTATCTTGTGACAACCCCCCCCGCCTCCCTCCCAACCTCTCACATTACCATCAATAACCATCTATGATTAATGTAATTAATCCTCTATTGTAATTTAGACTACCTAGAATGCCTATGCACTGGTGATCCACTCGATTACGCTGGTTACCGAAACGGTTCGTTTTGGTAACAAAATGTCGGAACGTCGAAGGTACGAATTTTCTTTTTTCCTTATTTCACGCGTTGTAGGCAGAATCCCCACGACGTTTTTTCTAACAAACGTATATCAGTATCATATATTTCGGAAAATGTATACATATTTGCGAAAAAATAGCTCAGAAGACAACAGAATCGTCGATTTAATTCCTCACTTAAGTTACATAAACGGTTTGAGTTAAACGTGCAGATCTCAACTGTCTTTCGAAATACCGTTTATGTAACTTAGCGAGAAATTAAATCGACGATTCTGTTGTCTTCTGAACTATTTGTTCGCAAATGTATGCATTTTCTTAAACATACGATACTGATACACGTTTGTGATAAAAATATCGTGGGAATTCTGCCTACAACGTGTGAAATAAGGAAAAGGGAAAATTCGATGTTCCGACATTTTCGTTTCGGTAACCAGCGCAATCGAGTGGATCACCAGTGCTATGGCGATTGGTAGTAGATATTTTGTGTATTTTTTGATTATGAAGGAAATAAATAATATGTTAAAAAGAAATAGTGTGAATATTGAATCATTGACAAGAATGAAATGATTCTAAATTATCTCACCACATCAAAAATAATGATATTTATTGAACAGGTTTGATTCAATTAGAATATTTTTATTTATTCATTTGATAGATATCTTAAATGGATGGTACGCTATTTAAAATAAATGCCTCTCATTAAAAACAAACGTATTGCTTGTACAATTCTCGGATTAGATAATTGAGGTTAAAAATATTTCGAGAATACGTATGACAAGTATTATACAGATACAAAAGCAAATAACTTTACTATGGTATAACTTATTAAATAGTAAATACTGTTAACAATTCAAATATGCCCAAGCTGACTGATTTATGTATTCCAAATTAGTTCTTAATCACATATGGTTCATGGCTATGTAAATACTGCACATAAAACAGGAGATAAACAAACTGAAATAAAAACTAAAATAATCTCAGTATGAAATCAATAATTATGTCCATACTCAAAAATATACATACATATAAAATACTTATTATATATAATGCATTATTACATATTCAAATATGCCAGGTATGTCACGGCCAATCAACTTCAAATCATTGCTTTGATAACTGAGGGTTATGATTTCATTAAGAACTGCATGGCCTTCATATACGTGTATTGTTATAACACGTTATGATAATGCATAAGTACATGTACATTGTACACATGCTTTAAAATTTCTAATATACAATGATAAAGGATTCTTGAGACACCTTTATGTAATACCTCTTCAGCGTCCTGTAATTTTAATTTAGTGATAATTAGCCCAGATAAATAGGTGGATGGACTAACTGATGACATGGAGAGCCTTCAACTCCATTCAATGGATGCTTAGAAAAAATGTTGAAATTATGATATCAAATAATATCACAAGTGTTTAAAGCATTTTACTTTATCTACTTAATCATATAATATATTGTTTTCAGCAGAGTCAGCAGCTGATTTGTCTCTTTTGAATATCTACTGGCAACATGTTACAGTAAAACTTGTAACGTTACATCTGTAAGAATACCCCCCCCCCTTCTCCCCCTACAAGCAGAGCACTGTTTTAAGGTACTGCAACTAACTATACAAATTTTACTGTTTTTGCATTAGGGAATTACATATCATTATTTGACTCTCCTTCAATCAATATTATAAGAAAAATCCTTATATTGATTCAATAATTTGTCGTAAAAGAAGGAATCACCCTTTTTACTGCAATATGCTTTACTGGTAAATATCAAAAATGGCATAATTTACACAATACTTCAATGTTTACACAAATAAATAATTGTGAAAATTCCACTGACGTTTCTAATGGACAATGGAATGTACATTATTCTAGCTACAAGAGAAGGTGATACTTATTATCTATGTGTTGAATTCAGGTACAATATCACTTTTTAACTCAAGCTATTTCCTCAGAGACCAGCTCTTCATGGTCACTATGGCAACTACAACAGCAATAATTAAAAAATATACAACAACCTTTGCAACATCCTGATTTCATATCCTGTGGCGGTACCTGCGCCCGTGCAAAGTTAATAAACACTTGTTCTAATGTTGTTTGACTGACTGAATAATCTTCAATATTAAACTGCACTTTTGCTCGCTCCATGGTGCCGAATATTGCGGCCCATGATAAGTCAGTATTTGTTATATGATAATGTAGCATTCCTTGGTGCATGTCTTTCAATATACAGCCAGGGAATGTACCCTCTATGAATCCCATAAGGGGTTGTGTATTGGGCAAGCCTCCGTCTTTAGGGTAGCCTATCTTAGCAATAAGGGTGTAACCCTCGCCAAACTTATTCTTCAGATGCTGTGTACTCCCCAAGCACTTGAACACTCCATTTACCATGATCCCGATCCTGGTACAAAGTGCCTCACACTCTTCCATGCTGTAGAAGAAAACAAGAAATAGTGAGAAATATTGCACTGGAGCAAAATGGTGGCCCTGTAAATACCCAGCGTGTCAAAAATCTAATCAAATAACATATGTCTGCTTTTGCATTTATAAAAGATTCAAGTTGAACATATTGATAATTTTCTGACTATGACAAGATATATTGCTCTGTTATGAATCTCAACAAAAACAAACGAAAAATGGTTATACAGGCTGATGAATAGGACTGATTGACTGCTGGCCAGACAGGTATGTGGTCATGAGGACTGCACAATATCCAGATACAGGTTTTGGGATAATGAAGATTTCCAAGCTAAGTAGCAAAAATAGAAAAAATACTTTTAATGTTTACAAAACCATATACTACAGTCACCAAAAAACAAAGATCTGAAACAGTTCTACATAGAAGTATAGTGACATACCTATGTGAAGTCAACACAAGTGTTCTCCCACTAGCTCTCACTCTCGATAAAGTATCCCATAGCAGTCGCCTAGCAACAGGATCCATTCCAGTTGTAGGTTCATCAAGGAACAGGATTGGTGGATTACCAACCAATGAAATAGCGGTACTTAACTTTCTCTTGTTTCCCCCACTGGAATATAAAATATAATCAAAACAACACTTCAAATATGTTCAAAGACTCACTCCTTACACTCCATTTGCTACATGTATTTTATCGCAAGATTTTTTCATGCCAAGTACAAATAACAATTAAATCTCTAATTATCCATTTAAGCACTGAAGTACAACCTTACAAAGACATGCTCCACCCAATCTAGGACTGGGCGGGGTGTTGGAGTCAGACTGGTACAGTTACTGTGGTTGATGCCTTCTGAGGTTTTATAAGTATCTAATGTTAGCTTTTTCTAGCTTTTATGGCAGCTGATCCTGGCTGCTGCTCCAGTGGAAGATCTATAGGATCTTTATTAATTCCATACATACCTGTATTCTCCGGAAAGCTTGTCTGCGTGTTGTTCCAGCAGCAAAGATGAGATTAAACCATTAACAACTCGTGGAATCTCACTCTCAGGTATTCCCCTCAGCCTGGCATACATCTGTAGAGTCTCTCTGCCAGTCAGCTGATCTATCAGAGCATCGAACTGGGGACAATAGCCCAACATTTGCTGCACCTGAAAAAGGCAGTATGAAAAGTCAATCTTATTGATTTTAGTATAACTATGGCAACAAGTCAATCAGGGCATCCGTTTTTCACTTGGCATACCTGGAAAAATAATTCTTTTAAGACTTGTTTTGTTGATTTTAGTGTTACCATAGTTACAAGGGGTCACATGCCCCAGATGTGTACCTACCTTACCAATGCTATGCCTTATGTCATATCCTCCGAGGTATGCTGTTCCTCCACTAACAGTCTCATCCCCCGTCATCATCTTAAATGTGGAAGTCTTTCCTGCTCCATTCAAGCCCAGGAGGCCAAAACAATCTCCCTGAGATATACCAACATTCAATTGGTTTACAGCCCTCAAGCTTCCATAATATTTGGTTAGGTTCTTTATAACTAGGGAATATTTTTCTACCAGGTAGTTTATAGGTGTACTAGCCATCAATTCACGTTCATTTTTCACGTCACTGTCCTCAGTGATGAAGGCATTATTGTCTGTTTGATAATGTTCCTGACCATTGGTCTGACGCTGATCAACGGCAGATTTAATTGAGTACCAGAGTTCACGTAAAAGCTGGGACTCCATGAGGAACAAAATAGCAAAATACAGGAACCCTTGTAGTCCCATGAATACCAACATTCGACCAATCCCATTGCGCTCCCATGAAAGATAGTTGTACTGGAAGTCCAAACAGTTATCACCACAGTTACCTGGAAAACATCAATTTTACAACAATGTTACAACAATGCATTAACATGCAAAATGTCAACACCATTTTTTATAGAGGCCAACCACCCTTTTGCGACCAAAACCTCCGTCTCAAAAATGGAGACCATGACAATATGTCACCTCTTTTAGGTGGTGACATAATAAACTATCATGTAACATACAGGGTTCTCATTAGAAAATCTTCAAACTCCAGGACTATAGGTACATGTAGACTCATAAAACAGATTATTAGCTTGCTTCATGTTACCTTTACAACACGGAAGAGTTGCTCCTATGCCACACAGTTGTTTGACAATTGGGTCGCTACAAATCGTTATGTACTCATAGTTCATGTAGAAATCAAGTAGTCCCTGGGCCAGGCCATAGTTTGGTAGCAGAGTGATGAAGATCCAATCTAGCGTCTGGAACAAAATAATGCTTGTTGTCATCATTCCCCTCTAAACACATAGTGATGAATATTGCAGGCTGAAGATCAAAATGGCCGCCATGTAATTTACCCAGCATGGCCAAAACCTAATTTGATCTTGACACTAGTCTGCTCTTACATCTGTACTTCAAGTTGGACGGATAACTGGTTTTCATTGAATTTTGATGACACTCACAGCACAAGGCAACTGGAACTTTTTCAGTGTGTGATGAAAGTGGAAATCATTTGAATGGAGCAACAGGGCTTTAACATGCAAAATGTCACCACATGCCATTTGTTACAGATGCCAAACTCCAAACTCCAGATGCCAACCATCGTCACAAAAATGTTTAAGACCATAACAATATGTCATCACTTTTAGTAATGACATAAAAACCTTGTTTGGTGGGATCATTACCTTTGATAGATCTTCTGTTTGTAGCTGTGGTATTGAGAGGATATTGACAGCAAGCATGGTAGCGATGCCTACAAACAAAAATAGGTTCAGGAACAAATAATTATCAAATATGTATGTCAATATTATTCAAACTATTAGTCTTATATTAGGATGTTTTGAAACCTGTGAAGTATGAACACCACTTAGACAGGTTTTACTGTACTGTATGTATGTCTTATCAAAACTATTAGTCCAAGATGTTCTGGAATGTGTGTCGACTTACCTGAGAGAATATTCCACATTGTGATCCAGACAAAACCAGTGGATGGGACATCAAATATGAATGACATCAGATACATCATAGGGAGCATAGCCCAGCCATATACCACAAACAATAACAGTATGCTCCCTAGGTTGGTTCCACTTGTATATGCATCCATTTTAAATGCCACAAATGTGACAAGTAGCAAGATGACAGGAATCAAATAATTGAGGAAATCCCAAAGGAATGTAGCTGACCAGAAGCTAACTGAATGAACGCCTGAGACAAACTGTATGTGCTTTGCTTTAGTTTGTCGCTCTTTGATCAAAAACAACACAAAGCTACTAGCTAGGAAGGCGAATCCAAATAGCACATTGAAAGATACGGTGAATCCCGTCGTTGCAACCTTCATATTCGAGTTTTCTCCTAACCGTTCTTTTAGTGTACGTGGCAGGGGAGCATTGGTAGCCTCAATAGTGTAGTTAGAGTTGGTAAAATACTTGAGCATGGCATTACTGACATACTGTAGTGCTATGGCTGGTGTATGGTAACCCTGGTCATTGAACTCAGTCCTAATAATGTCCTTGTTGATGGTCTTGTTGTCCTTCATGGTATGCTCAGTGTGGAACTGAGCAGCTATCAAATACTCATCATTGTATGTTGCAATGCTCTTTATCCCTTCATCCTCTAGGAACATTTCAACGTTGTTATCGATATATTTGTATGGTGTCAGTGTGTCTACATTTACTACCCGTGTGCTGGTCTTCTTTTGTAAGAACTGACTCTCGTAGATGCGCGACACGTTGTTCATCGTGAAACTCGAACTTGGTGACGTCCCTAGTGAGACATAGTTCCTTGAAAACTTATCAAGGGACAGAACCAGAGAAGGGGAATCAGTGGGGCCCGGGAGAGTCTTAATAACAATCAGAGCAGATATCGTAAAGAACAGTGGAATGAGTAGTTGCGTCAATGTTATTAACTGATTCCGGAATGTATGCAACATACGCTTCTTAAACATTGCTACAACTTGCTGGCTGAGAAGTACTGGTCCATAGTTGAATCTTGTAACATCAAATGCTGAAAATAATATTACAATGAATTTATGAACGAGTCACACAAAATAAAACAAACAAAAAACAAATCATGCAAGAAGATGCATTGAATATCTACTTTTTCAGATTAAATTACGACTTTAAGTTCTTTTCCACTTATTTAATTCTTCAACGAATATTTTTTGAACATTGAGTTATTCAAGATAATTTTATCTTTATAAAAATACCATATATAGTACTATGATTGTGCTTTCGATCAAGGTCAAATGAACATCAATATTACATAAAATAATGTATATGTGTTAATTGCTATTTAAGAGACTATGGCTTTGCACATATTAAAGCAGATCATAAAGAGCTAGTGCACAAGAAAATTCTAAAAATAGTTGTTAGGAATCTACAGTACACTACAGAAAACTACAACTATAAACAAGCACAACATGCACTTCAAAACAGACAATGCTAAAAGAACATCCTACAACCAATGTCACAAAAACTACTGAAGATACTACCAAATCTTGCTACAATTCTTAAGGTTATAGATAGTTGGAATAAGGTAAAGGCCCCCTGAAATATGAATGAAAACCCCATACATCAACTCGCTTGCACTGACAAATAGAGCTTGAGTAAAAGCTTCCTACGGCTTCAGAACAATGTGCATAGTATCGGTTCACAGGTTAACATTAAAAATCGCTTGAATCTACAATTTACCCGATTCGCAAGGCTGCATTTAGTGGATTCATTCATATGTAAAGAGGCCTTAAAGTAGAAATAAAGCAACACCTGACACTGATTCAGCGAACATACTCAAGCCTGTACCACCATTCTGACTGCTTGCAGAGCTTGAAGATCCACCTGAATTGATGGCCACATCTTTTGGGAGGCTCCCATATTGATTTTTAATGCCATTGTCCTGTAGCCTCTCTTTCAAGTCATCATCCGTCTGCTCACCTACCCTGAAATACACATTGCAGGTTTGATAATAATCATGAATTCATGAATTGAATGTGCTTGATGAGTCACGTCACGACCATGGACATAAAAGAATAATGAGCAAAATCAAAAAATATGTTTTTCAACCTTGTTTACATGTATCTTTTAGCATTTCACTATGTTAAACGGTCTCCAATTTTTCAACTCCATCTGTTTTGGCTGAGTAAATTATCAGAGAAAACCCATCAATAATGTCAATTTTGTTGGTACATGTATATACTATACTTGCTAACTGATAAAAGTTAACTAGGGCTCCACATTTTCTGTTACTATCAAGAATTGCATAAACATACAATATACTCTATATTCAAAAATCTTCTAAAAAGAGCTATTTACCCCTTTAATGATATAGGTTTACAGAAAATAATAACACACTGATAATTGATCCAGCCACCAGCACTAATATCTGCATAATTTCAATAAATGAAAATAACATTTTCAATTAACCTTAGAAAGACTTCCTCCATAGTAGTAACAGATGCACCATAACTTGCAATTCCTAATGCCTCTTTATTGGTTTCTAGATCTGTGAAGAGCTCTTCAAACTTGTGGCTTTCCTCACGTGGGAGAATGTACGAAACTTCAGCGCTGATGTTGCTCTCTAAACGAGCCATCGGGACATATCTGTTGATGATATTTGTGAGTTTCGTGACATCACAATGAGGTTGCTTAACGATAATCATATGGTAACCAGCACCTGCAACAAATAAGAACAAATAAGAACAAAATGTTATTTAACAAAAAGTAGTATATCTCAAAACTAATGAGCTGTAGAAAAGAGACAACAGCTACCACCAATTTCTATTAAACAATACATCTTGTAATATAAAAGAAAATCATTTATTTGATAGAAACTAACCATATTTATTCTTTAGAAACAACGATGAGCCACAGCACTGTACAACACCATTAGCCATGATTGCGATCCTGTCCCCAAGGTGGTCCGCCTCATCCATAAAATGTGTCGTGAGAAGGAGGGTGCGGCCAGCACGGTGACTTTGGAGGATATCCCATGCATGTCGACGTGCATCTGGATCCATTCCTGAGGTAGGCTCATCAAGGATGACTACCTTAGAACCAGCTATCAGAGCAATACCTGAATTATATCACTTAAAAGTTAGAAACATCTCGTATGTAAATAAATTATGTAGACTTCATCTGCATGGTACTAGTATTCTTTCAAATACAAAAATGTCTCAGTTTAATTTCTTGTTGTAGGTATAGAAAATGTTTCTCATCCTGTAAAGATGTATTTATGAACAAAAATTAACTTTGATATCAATGGTTTGCCTATATGTCAATTAAAATTCACTTTCATCAAACTGCAAAATGTTGCAAATGCTACTCATTTACATCAGAAAAAAACATACCCATTGAAAGTTTTCTCTTCTGTCCACCAGAAAGTGTCTTGGCTAACTCATGTTGTTTACTGGTTAAACCAATAGATTGTATCATAGTATTCACCTCCTGATCCAAAGCACTGGCCTTGCACCCTTTCAACTGTAAAGAGCAGAAAGTAAAATATTGAGCCAAAAAGCACATTTCTATATTGTCTTATCTTTCTTTTATTCCAGCATCTATTTAATATGGATTTCAAAAAATGATAGTTCTTTCTATCAGTTCTTTCAATTAGTCCTTTTAATATGCACAATTACATTACGGTAAATGCAGAAACCTAACTCATACTAAATGTTTGACTTTGCAGATTTGTTATTTGGACACCTGAAGGATATGTATCTAAATAAACATTAAAACAAAAACACTCTACCTTGGCAAAGAAACGCAAGTGCTCATCAACAGTAAGAGTGTCAAATAAAACATCATGTTGAGGACAAATTCCAAGACTGCTGCGAACGCCATCTATATTTGTTGTGATGTCATAGTCGCTAACATTTGCCATGCCACTTGTCACGGGGATAAATCCTGAAACATTACAATACCATCAATAGTTAAAGACCTTCAAAATTTTCCATACTATTGGCTTTATAAAGGTATCTGGTTTGTGATAAAGTTAATCAAGAATAATCAAGAATATGAGATGTATCTCCCCTATTATCCCCTAGTCTAAAATCGAGATTCACTGAAATAACGGATCCAACCTAATTTCTAAAAGTCAATGATGCCTGCTACAGCCTTGCATATATTCATCCATTTGTTTTTTGTTTTATTCCTACCAGCTGGCATAAAGCATGAATCTTACCTGTCAACATTGACATAGTGGTTGTCTTGCCTGCCCCATTGTGTCCTAGGAGTGCTGTTATTTGACCCTCAAACATGTCTAATGTCATTCCTGCCACAGCAACATGCTCTTTCTTAGTGCCTTCTTTGAACACCTAATTAAACATAATCCAAAGAGAAAGACCATTTTGAGAATTCTATCCATTTCTTCATGTCCACAAATACATTGGTTTGATGTAAAAAACCTTCTTATTGGCTTCCTTTCCTCTACAGAAAGCCCCTTATACATCACTTTTATGAGGATTTAAAAAGTTTGCAACCAACAAGACATGCAGGGCATTCAACAGAAACTTTGTAAAGTCTAGAATCCTTAAACCAATTGTTGTAACCATAGATAATGACATTGTATTATGGATTTTAGGAATTCCTCAATCATCCCAAGTTTTTACCTTTCTAAGGTTGCGTATCTGAATGCCAGCTTTAATGCCAACTGGGTTATCTTCAAAGTAGGCAGAGTTCTGTTCAGTCCCATGTAGTAGGGGGGTATATTCACTGCTTTCTTCATTCATCATAGACTTCCCTCCACACCAGTAGGTCTTCTAAAAATATCAATTACATCAAAATTTTATTTTGGGATTTTGTTATGGTACTTTACCATGGGAATGGATAAATTTTGTTTAAAATAGTGAAAGATGGAGAGCTAAGCTTGAAGAAGGTCAGTTACAGATCATGGATACAAATTAAGGTATTTATCAAACACAGGCTTTACTGATTAGTTTGTTAGTGTGACGCTATGGAACTTACTGTAAATGGGAAGTACCATCTTTGAGGTACCCCATACTCTCCGGGGAAAACAGCCTCCACATACCATGCTATAGCTCCATATAGCACACAGTCTATAAGCAACATGAGCCACACTTGCAGCATAGTGAAGCTGTCATCAACTGAGACACCCACTGATAGGTTGCTCCATTGAACTCCACTACCTGAAACATTGTAACATTTACAGTCCACATATACAGTAAAACATGGGTGACACCCACTGATAGGTTGCTCCATTGAACTCCACTACCTGAAACATTGTAACATTTACAGTACACATGTACAGTAAAACTTGGGTGACACCCACTGATAGGTTGCTCCATTGAACTCCACTACCTGAAACATTGTAACATTTACAGTACACATATACAGTAAAACTTGGGTGACACCCACTGATAGGTTGCTCCATTGAACTCCACTACCTGAAACATTGTAACATTAACAGTACACATATACAGTAAAACTTGGGTGACACCCACTGATAGGTTGCTCCATTGAACTCCACTACCTGAAACATTGTAACATTTACAGTACACATATACAGTAAAACATGGTTGACACCCACTGATAGGTTGCTCCATTGAACTCCACTACCTAAAACATTGTAACATTTACAGTACACATATACAGTAAAACATGGGTGACACCCTCTGATAGGTTGCTCAATTGAACTCCACTACCTGAAACATTGTAACATTTACAGTACACATATACAGTAAAACATGGGTGACACCCACTGATAGGTTGCTCCATTGAACTCCACTACCTGAAACATTGTAACATTTACAGTACACATATACAGTAAAACATGGGTGACACCCACTGATAGGTTGCTCAATTGAACTCCACTACCTGAAACATTGTAACATTTACAGTACACATATACAGTAAAACATGTGTGACACCCACTGATAGGTTGCTCCATTGAACTCCACTACCTGAAACATTGTAACATTTCTGCATTTACAGTACACATATACAGTAAAACTTGGGTGACACCCACTGATAGGTTGCTCCATTGAACTCCACTACCTGAAACATTGTAACATTTACAGTACACATATACAGTAAAACATGGGTGACACCCACTGATAGGTTGCTCCATTGAACTCCACTACCTGAAACATTGTAACATTTACAGTACACATGTACAGTAAAACATGGGTGACATCCACTGATAGGTTGCTCCATTGAACTCCACTACCTGAAACATTGTAACATTTACAGTACACATATGCAGTAAAACATGTGTGACACCCACTGATAGGTTGCTCAATTGAACTCCACTACCTGAAACATTGTAACATTTACAGTACACATATACAGTAAAACATGTGTGACACCCACTGATAGGTTGCTCAATTGAACTCCACTACCTGAAACATTGTAACATTTACAGTACACATATACAGTAAAACATGTGTGACACCCACTGATAGGTTGCTCCATTGAACTCTACTACCTGAAACATTGTAACATTTACAGTACACATATACAGTAAAACATGGGTGACACCCACTGATAGGTTGCTCAATTGAACTCCACTACCTGAAACATTGTAACATTTACAGTACACATATACAGTAAAACTTGGGTGACACCCACTGATAGGTTGCTCCATTGAACTCCACTACCTGAAACATTGTAACATTTACAGTACACATATGCAGTAAAACATGTGTGACACCCACTGATAGGTTGCTCCATTGAACTCCACTACCTGAAACATTGTAACATTTACAGTACACATGTACAGTAAAACATGGGTGACACCCACTGATAGGTTGCTCCATTGAACTCCACTACCTGAAACATTGTAACATTTACAGTACACATGTACAGTAAAACATGGGTGACACCCACTGATAGGTTGCTCCATTGAACTCCACTACCTGAAACATTGTAACATTTACAGTACACATATACAGTAAAACTTAGGTGACACCAACTGATAGGTTGCTCCATTGAACTCCACTACCTGAAACATTGTAACATTTACAGTAAACATATACAGTAAAACATGGGTGACACCCACTGATAGGTTGCTCCATTGAACTCCACTACCTGAAACATTGTAACATTTACAGTACACATATACAGTAAAACATGGGTGACACCCACTGATAGGTTGCTCCATTGAACTCCACTACCTGAAACATTATAACATTTACAGTTCACATATGCAGTAAAACTTGGGTGACACCCACTGATAGGTTGCTCCATTGAACTCCACTACCTGAAACATTATAACATTTACAGTTCACATATGCAGTAAAACTTGGGTGATACCCACTGATAGGTTGCTCCATTGAACTTCACTACCTGAAACATTGAAACATTTACAGTACACATATACAGTAAAACTTGGGTGATACCCACTGATAGGTTGCTGCATTGAACTCCACTACCTGAAACATTGTAACATTTACAGTACACATATACAGTAAAACTTGGGTGACACCCACTGATAGGTTGCTCCATTGAACTCCACTACCTGAAACATTGTAACATTTACAGTACACATATACAGTAAAACTTGGGTGACACCCACTGATAGGTTGCTCCATTGAACTCCACTACCTGAAACATTGTAACATTTACAGTACACATATACAGTAAAACTTGGGTGACACCCACTGATAGGTTGCTCCATTGAACTCCACTACCTGAAACATTGTAACATTTACAGTACACATATACAGTAAAACATGGGTGACACCCACTGATAGGTTGCTCCATTGAACTCCACTACCTGAAACATTGAAACATTTACAGTACACATATACAGTAAAACATGGGTGACACCCACTAATAGGTTGCTCCATTGAACTCCACTACCTGAAACATTGTAACATTTACAGTACACATATACAGTAACACTTGGGTAAGTAGAACATCAATGGTACCTCAAATGGTTCAACTTAGGTCTTGAGAGATGTTCCACTTACAGAGGTTCATTATACATTTACTAGCTACATTTCATTTTATATTTTGTAAGTTAATGAATAACATGTCTTTCAGAAGGAGTCTTTCACTTGACAAGTTTTACTGTAATATGTCACATGTACATATCCAAGTATCACTTCACCTGCCTCTAGAGAACAAAATTTCTCAACACTTCTTGTGGCTTCTGTTCACTATACACAAGACTTACTATAAACTAATGATGAAATATAATGCATAAAAATAGCATATACAAAGTACAATGTACTGCATCACTAAGGAGGCAATACAGCACTATGGTAACGTGCAATAAAACAGTGTGTCTTTGATGGTCTTACCTGTTCCTTCAAACATTCCTATGACCTGGCCTCCAAATGCCATGGCAACATTGGGAATAAGACAGAAGATCAACTTCACATATAGAGGTAGAGTATCATAGCGAGGTTGCAGGAAGAAATATGGAATGTAGGAAATGAAGAAGAGAATTCCTCCCGCAGCAGCTGCAGAATTTGCTGAAATTACATATACAATATAAAATATTATTCCTGTTTCAAATTAAAAAATGTTTGAATGATTTTTTCGAAAATTTGTATTTTTTCAAACAAAATCAGTTTTTAGTTCAGTGGAAATGGTTAGTCCAAAAGTATACCATGAATTCTTATGCAGAGGTCAATGTAAATTTTGTAATAGAAATCCATATAGTTAACCAGTAATTTTCTCAATGGTGGTTAAATGTCATCTGCTCAAGTATTATTCAAAGAATAAATATAAAGCTCTAATTGAAGAGCACAAAGCAAACTCTTTCATGCTAAACCTTACCTTTAGAGAAGAAGACGCTGATAGCAAAGGAGAACATGATGGTAGTCATGGAATAGATGATGAGAAACATGAAGATCACGCTCCAGGCTGAGTAGCCAATCACGCTGCCTTTAGGTGGGATCTTTATACAGTAGAAGATGGTCATGATTCCAACAGTAATCAGCTGGAAAACGAAGTATTTCACAAACCATGCTGTCCAATGTAACCAATTGTTCATCCCCATCATCTTCATGGACTCCTGGAAAATTATATATTATTTTTAGTTATTTGAAAATGCAAAATGAATGCCTGTGATAAGGGTTGATGTGAAAGTCAGTGTAATAATTGTCGGTGGAATCTAACCCATGACACTTCCGTAATTGATGGAATCCTCTTCCACTGAGCTATAGAACATACATGTATCTCTTCTGTCGAAAAAGCTGCAGATATCTTTGTCCCACATTACTTCATTTCCTCGACCCAAGTTTTAGTATACATCCACAAAATTTAGAATTTAAAGTTTCTAGAATCTCTCGGCAAGTCTTGTACAAAGTTTTGTAATTCCTCATGTATCCTTGAGCAGCATCTTTTTCTGATTTGAACAATTTATTTTGAAGCAAACAAGTTATGTTATGATAAAGCTTTTCAATGTGGTAATCATTGAATACTCACCTTAAGTTTACGTTCCTTTTCATAGACTACGTCTTTGACAATGTTCAAGGCAATAAAGACAAAGCTGAGCATGAGGATCAATGGGAACTGTTGCTGGAGCACCAACACAAAGGGATCGTCATTGTAGGGAGGGTAGGGGAATCTGCGCATCTCAACCTAAAAACACATAAAATTGACTGAATCAACCGGAGTCGATCCAATATAACAAAGGAGCAATGTGCAAAATATTGGGCATTTAAAATCTGCTGACTAGCACTAACTTTAGATTTTCCAAAACCAATTTTGTTAGGAGGGGGTTAGGTGAAAAAAAGATAATCCAGTTTCTATTGTTCAGTAAGATTACAGGAACATTTACATTTATACATGGACCTGGCACCTAAAAGTAATAATAAATTTTGATACCTTAATATCAGGTGTGTTTCCTGAGATCTCTTGAATGATTTCCTCATTGACAGCTAGCTGCAATGGGAGGAATCCCTCCCTCATATACCCTGCAACAATGCCATTATGTAAGAATAGATCATCAACAATGACATCAATTTAAGAATATATCTTCAACAATGACATCAATTCAAGAATATATCTTCAACAATGACATCATATAAGAATATATTTACAACAATGTCATCATCTAGGAATATATCATCAACATTGACATTTTGCAAGAATACTGTATAAGTGGTAATTTTGCCTAATCATTTAATTTGCCTATTTCCTAATTTTTGCCTGGTTCGGAAAATTAAATGTCGGAAATATTGTCTTTATAATGTTATCCAATGGGAGGTTTCTTGTCATTAGGAAAATTAAAATTAGGAAAATGATGAAGTTTGACCATTCGGAAAATTAACCACTCGGATTAAATACCACTTATACAGTAGTTCATCAACAATGACATCAATTTAAGAATATATCATCAACAATGACATCATATAAGAATATATATTCAACAATGACATCATACAAGAATATATATTTATTTATTCTTCAAGTACATTCACACCCCTTGGGGTCAAGTACATGTACAAACAAAAAATATAACAATTATAAAGGAAGGAAAAAAAGAAGACATTTACATAACTACATAACTATTACTATTATTGATGCTGATGCATTGGTGCACTAGAGATATAGCTATTGGTACTGGATGTAAATATATATTTTGCTACATTTATACAGTTTTGATCTTTACCAGACATCAAATAAATAAATGGATTTTCTTGCACTGGCATTTTCATTTTAGACAACATTATACTTCTTTGTTTATTATATTTCGTACAGTGAAGGAGATAGTGTTCTTCATTTTCTAGAATATTGCATGTTTCGCATTTTCTCTCCTCCAGAGGTGTCGGCTTTGGTCTTGTGTAGCGACCGAGTTCAATTTGGAGATTATGTGCACTTATTCTAAGTTTAGTAAACTCTCTACGTAGGTCAAAACGTTTTATATAATCTAAATATTTTTCATAAGCAAAGTTACTTTTGAATGTGTTATAAGTTCTTAATTTGTTATTGCACTTTCCTTTTTGTGTATCATTAGAGATTTTATTCTTCCAGAATTCATGAAATCGGCTCCTTAGACTTTGCTTGCATTCAGATAATATTTCTGGTGTTATATCTAGTATTTCTTCAGTATTTATTAATATTTTAATCAATTTTAAGAACAACGAATACCATGACATGAAATTCTGATTTTTTTGTGTTGTGAAATGCTTGACTAAGTAACAGGTTATCAGAGTCTTGAATATGAGCATAAAAATTACAAATTCTATCAAATATATTTATAAGTAGTGGATACCTCCCAAGTTCTCCATAAATAGCCGTGTTAGTTGCCCTTTTCCCAACACCTAGAATATGTTTACAAAACGATATGTTTAACTTCTCAGACAAAATTTTAGATTGCTTGAGGTATGTATCTTCTAAGTTGTCAGTTGAGACATTATTAAAAGCATATGGCGCCCATATTTCGGCACCATACAGACATATTGGTGCTATCGTATGGTCAAAAAGGCTTACTGCTAAAGATGGCTTAATATTACAGTATTGAAAATATTTCTTAAGTTTAAACAATGCTTTGGATGCTTTTTCATGTAGATAATGCTGGGCAGCCATAAAACTACATATCATCAATACTGATATCAAGTAGAAACATAATATCGACTTTGACATCATCATGTCAGATCATGTTATCAACATTGACATCATATAAGAATATATCATCAACACTGACACCAAGTAGAAGCATGATATCAACTTTGACATCATCATATCATATCATGTAATCAACATTGACATTATGATGTCTGAGTATGCAATCAATGCTAACATAACATAAGAGTATGAAGCATCAAGTTAGAATTATGTCACATAATGAAGGAAGTACTAAAGAACAAAAAATTTGATTCTCTAATCAATATCTTACACACTCTTATGTCTGAAAATAATTCAAGAAAACATTCAAATAAGATTCACCCCTAATGTCTTAAAGTACAGTAGCTGTAGACATTTTCCTATACATTTTTGGCCTTCTGTTTTTCAAATATTTGAAATCAAAAAAATTCATGGTTTACAGTATGTATCTATGACATTTTAACCTTATACGTTAACCTTTTCTTACCTGGCTGCCCTCCACAGGGTTTCTTGATTTCTCTCGGCCCGATTCTCTGGAACAATGGGAACTGAAACTCAGTGTTCCAGCTCGAATCTTGCTCAAATGGGTTTATATGGAATTTTGGTTTGTCAGCATTCTGCGGAGTAGATTTAAACCGCAAGCTCACACTTATGTTGTTCACAAATGTTCCATTTTGCAGCAAAGAGTTGAATATGACTGCAGCCAGAACCTGTTTGGTGGTTCCATTGTCGTATTTCATGAAAGTAACAAGTTCATCTTCAGAAGGAAAGCCTAGACCTGAAACAATGAATGAGATATGTATAAAGCATTTCAAAAATAGGACTTGAAATTGGAGATAGTCAAAATGGTCACTTTTATAATCCTATAGCAATATTGGCCAACATCATCGCAGATGTACAAAAGGACAATGGAGTGAAAAAAAATATTTTTGAAAATTATTTTTGGCCCTTTTTGTAGTCATGAAAACTTGGTCTCGTCTCTTTTAACATAAGGCCTCATTTTTCCAAAAATACCAAAATCCAAATTAGGCCTATTTTTAAATATGAGGACCAACTCCAAGGCAATTTAAATGTAAGTCTATCAAACCAAAAAAGCAACCTTACGACCACAGTGCTTACTTAACATACATTGTATCTCTCATAATTACTGAATCCTTTCAAGAATGTGTCAATGAGACTTAATGTAAGACAAAGCAACAAATCAGGGTCTGTAAATTACCCTTTTAACATCATTAAGAATAGGGATGTCACAGTTTCCAGATATTGTCCCATCCCTCGGAACATTGGTCTCGGGACGGGACGGGACAACCCTTGTGTACCGAGATTTCAGTCCATGTTCAGGATATACTATTTTTCCTGTATATGACCCTAAAACATCCCAAATGCATGATAAATATGATCTAAACTAGAATTCGGGACAGAACATGCAATTTTTTCGATACCATTGTTTCCCTTTGAAATATGTTTCAAATTAAACAATAATAAAGAACTTCATCGGCAAGCAAGGTAACAGCTTAAAATTAATCTCATATTACAAGATTTTGCGCATTTGCGCAGCAATCTTACGACATCCAAAAGATGGATAATTCCCGTCCCAAAATATTTTTGTCCGTGACATCCCTAATTAAGAACTATAAAAAATCAGATTCTATCAATCTTACCTGTTATATTAAGCTGAAGTTTTTTCCCAACTCTTTCCATAATTCTGTCTATGACAGGTTCATTAGGTGCATAAGCTAGGTGGTTTAATCGGCCTGCCAAACCGGAGGGCAGGTTGGCGATATCGTAGGGCTCCCATGTAGTTGAGTTTGTGACCAAGTTAGTGATGACACGTTGTCTGATGAAGATCAGAATCAATGAGAAGAATGTCGGCAGGCCAATCTCTAATAAAGTCACAAATACCTTGCGCTTTTGAAGTGTGTAGTTTTTCCATAATAACAGGCCAAACTTAGACATCTTGGTTAACTGAAATTAATGTTACTTCATAGTTTCAAATACATACAGCATATCATAGTTTCAAACACATACAATTTATCATGTTTTTAAAATTTATCAACTTTACATGCTATTGAGGCATGACACCTTGAACCTTTTGTTTTCAAACAAATAAAATCGCTCAATTACAAAATATATGTATACATTTCCTTATGACCCGTACAGCGCTTTCTAAAGATACATAGAGGCACAGAAAAACTTTTCTATAGTGTTTTGTATATTCTAAAATCAGCTCTTAAGTTAATACCTTGATATGTATGATCAGTCAAAAAGTAGGGCTTATGATAATTAGCTGATCATAAATTCTAACAATATTCCCCATGTGTATATATAGGTTTTACTGTATATTACCTTGTGACAAGATAGTAGAATTTCTAAAAGTAGATTACACAATGAAGAACACTATAATAGTCACATGCTTATGTACTCACTTACCAATGTACCCTATCTCAAACCTTGTATCATAGAAATTCTATTATAAGGGAATATGTTAAGTTAGATATAATTATACATGAAATTTGCTACAGTATGTTTGTATGTGGCTTCATAATGTTGTTTATGGTAATCTTGTTTTATTCACAGATTGCTTTCAAAGTATAATTAGTAGGAGCCAGGGGGACTAAAAAGTGGATCCTTGACCCACCTAATAAGAACTCACAAATCATATACCAAATTAAATCAAAGTATGTCAGGTACTTCAATCCACCCTTCATTTAGTCTTGAATTTTGCTTTAAGAAGAATTAGGGACCTTTAAATTCATCATTTATATTTTGCCCAACATTTAAGATGTTGACTGGATCCAAGAGGAGGGAAAGCCCCAGAGTTTCAAGATGACAGACATAATTACCTCTCTTGCTTACCACCTTCGTTCGTTCGAATTTTCATCGGCTAGTTATCAAATACTACACTTCGATGGGATGTTATAATTGATATAGGCATATTCCGTACACCTTTCTTTATCTTGATGTGAAATGAGAAGCTATGATATTGGTTAACACGCCAGAAATGAACATAATATTATTCGGAGCGTATTTCGAAAATTTTGAAACCGCCATTGATGACGTCATTTGTTTGTAGACTTTTGACCAATCAGCGACCGTGTCATCTCAATACAGATTTACATTATAAGCGTATGTCATCTTTGAACCCTGGTGTTTCTCCCCCTCTGACTGGATCCCTAATGTATAACATCCATGTTAACCTATTAACATGTGTATAATGCACTGAATGTATGTAATCTAACAATATCATTTAACAAATATTCTGTATAAAGATACATGTTTAAATAAATAAAAGATGAATGTTCTGTTCAATTATTGAAGATCTAGACACATTTACAAGGCAAACCTTATAGCGATATGAATTATGTTTTTTAAGTCATTGAGATGCTGACAACATCCCTAACAGTGAATATGTACTGTTTAATAATATAACAAGCAACCATCCTGTCTAGGCATTTCAACATTATTAGTATTCTGATTTTAAAAAAGTATGTTTTTATTAATGATTTAAATCAAATTCAGTTAAACTGTTTTAAGCACATCAAACAGGGCTCCTCCAAGGAGGGGTTTCTGGCTCTTTCTTCAAGTATAAAAATATGTAAAATACAGAATATACCAATGAGGTAGTGTAATTTTAGATTATTTATTTTTCATTAAACATTTAATAAATATCACTCTTACCTTTTTCATGTTTAAAGTTCTACTGGTTTGATTCGAAAACCAAATGACAATGCACTTAGAACTTAGTACTTACTTTAATTTACAATTCTGTTGATATTTTATGTGCTGTACTTCCCATCCTATGGTTCACCACATGGAAATTAGAGGTCAGAGTAACCCAAATCGGTCAGAGGTCAGGGTAACCTGGATCAGTTTCATTAGATTCTGGAAACACATGAAATACAAAAAATATATAAAAACACACATCTTTTTAACATATTTTTGTTATAATTTGCTAAAATAAAGCACTCCCACTTAGTAAGATGATCATCAGGGCTTTCTCTTAATGAAACTCCATGATAAAAGGTTGTGAACAACACACTCATTTGTATAACTTTAAATTAATAACATTGCACTTAAAAGTGACAACAAAGGAGATAGACATCATTGGCCCAAGAGTAATTCATTGCATTACATTATGATCTGCTATGAAAGCAGTGAAGGACCGATCTTGAAGGATGGAGATAGAGAAAGAGCAATATCTTCAATAAATGTTACATGCCAAAACTGTATATACCAATTTTAAGTTGCAGAAATGTCCGAATTCATTATATTTGAAAAAGAGGTGATTATTTTTTCAGAGAACTATATATAATGCAAAATGCATGCAAAATATCACCACCTGCCATTTGTTACAGATACCAGAATGCTCTGCCGAATGCTGACCACTCCATAGAGAACTATCTACATCCTTTACAGTGTCTTAATCATTTCATAATTATAAACATAAAAAATTAGTACCGTGGGTACTGGGCTCACATGGTGACAGAAAAAACGGATATAATTTTTTGCTGATTTTTTGTTACAAGATTATTTCAAGCCATCTGTCTCTCAGTCAATTAAAATGGCTGAAAAAAAAACAGGATATAATTTTTTGCCAATAATTTGTAACAAAATTATTTCATACAACTACTCTTTACAGTGACATGGCTTTTTGCAATGCAAGACACCTGAAATTATTTGTAAAGCTAGGAAATGGGCCAAAATTGAATTTCGCGAGACAAAAATGGCGACCATTTTGAAATCAGGCAAGTTTTTGAACCAGGAGTCATAGGGGAGTTTTTTGTAATGATGTTGAACAAAAATAACTTGAAACTGGAATCCTATCGACAGAGGTTTTAAGCAAATGGTCCAAAAGAGGATTTCGCGAGACAGATGGACAAATAAATGTTAACTAAAATGGCTGGAAATAAAAAAAAACGGATATAATATTTTGCCGAATCCTATCGACAGAGGTTTTAAGCAAATGGTCCAAAAGAGGATTTCGCGAGACAGATGGACAAATAAATGTTAACTAAAATGGCTGAAAATAAAATAAAACGGATATAATATTTTGCCGATTTTTTGTAACAAAATTATTTCATACAACTACCTTTTACAGTGACATGGCTTTTTACAATGCAGGACAGCTGAAATTATTTGTAAAGCTAGGAAATGGGCAAAAAGTGAATTTCGCGAAACAAGAATGGCAACCATTTTGAAAATAGGCGAGCTTTTGAACCAAGAGTCATAGGAGAGTTTTTTGTATAGATGTTGAACAAAATTAACTTAAAATGGGAATCCTATCGACAGATGGTTCAAGGTAAATGGTCCAAAAGTGGATTTTGCGAGACAGATGGGCAAATCAATGTTAACTAAAATGGCTGAAAATAAATAAATGGATATAATTTTTCGCTGATTTTTCGTAACAAAATTATTTCATACATTTACTCTTTACATTGACATGGATTTTTACAATGTTAGGACACTTGAAATTATTTGTAAAGCTAGGAAATGGGTCAAAAGTAAATTTCGCGAGACAAAAATGGCGGCCATTTTGAAAATAGGCGAGCTTTTGAACCAAGAGTCATAGGAGAGTTTTTTGTATTGATGTTGAACAAAAATAACTTAAAATGGGAATCCTATCGACAGAGGGTTTAAGGTAAATGGTCCAAAAGTGAATTTTGCGAGTCAGATAGACAAATCAATGTTAACTAAAATGGCTGAAAATAAATGAATGGATACAATTTTTCGCTGATTTTTCGTAACAAAATTATTTCATATGTATCTACTCTTTACTTTGCAATGGATTTCTACAATGTAGGACACTTGACATTATTTGTAAAGCTAGGAAATGGGTCAAAAGTGAATTTCGCGAGACAAAAATGGCGGCCATTTTGAAAATAGGCGAGCTTTTGAACCAGGAGTCATAGGGGAGTTTTCTGAATTCACGTTGAACAGAAATAACTTAAAACAGGAATCCTATCGACAGAGGTTTTAAAACGTGCCACTGTTATTGACAGAAAGTGGATTTCGCGAGTCAGATAGACATATCAATGTTAACTAAAATGGCTGAAAATAAAAAAATGGATACAATTTTTCGCTGATTTTTTGTAACAAAATTATTTCATATATCTTATCTTTACATTGACATGGATTTTTACAATGTAGGACACCTGAAATTATTTGTAAAGCTAGGAAATGGGCCAAAAGTGAATTCCGCGAGACAAAAGTGACGGCCATTTTGAAAATAGGCGAGCTTTTGAACCAGGGGTCATAGGGGGGTTTTCTGTATTGATGTTGAACAGAAATAACTTAAAACAGGAATCCTATCGACAGAGGTTAGCTAGGAAATGGGCTAAAAGTGAATTTCGCGACACAAAAGTGACGGCCATTTTGAAAATAGGCGAGCTTTTGAACCAGGAGTCATAGGGGGTTTTCTGTATTGATGTTGAACAGAAATAACTTAAAACAGGAATCCTATCGACAGAGGTTTTAAAACGTGCCACTATTGTTGACGGACGGACAGACGGACAGACGGACAGACGGACGGACGGACAGACGGACGGACGGACAGACAGACAGACGGACAAGTGAGTGATTGCAAAAGCTCACCATGTGAGCTAAAAACGATACAAATCATATATTAATAGTCCTTTATGCTGTCTACAAAATAGTTGGAGACCATAACACTATATATGTCAGCACTTGTGGTGGTGACTTAATGAGTGAATTACTGATATATAATGGGGCTATGACTTAAATAACTTTCATTACAGACCACAACATGTACCATCTGTTATGATTGTATTCTCTTTTTAGTTATTAGAAAATAAACTCTCGTCAAATATCATACGTGTAGAATTATTATTAGAACATGTATTCTTTAAATAACATTCAAAGTCAAGGCATGAAAGTATTACACTTAGACAAAGACATGATAAAGGATGATTTTAGCAAAATAATATTGTGAAACTGTGACAATTTAACAGAAGTTCATCTCAACTCATCTTCATTCTCTGCTGCCTCTTTAAAAAATGAAAAAAAAATTAGTGGTTTAAACTGCCATCTATATGCACAGTGTCTTTGCACACAAGCTCAAATCCACCCCTTGTGAGTGTCCTTATGCTCTAGTATAACAAATGATTATAAAACAAAGTGTTAACATGTTAAAATATAACCCCAAATTGTGTTACAATTTGTCACTGACACTGACTGCCAGTTGAGAAAATATCAACTTGAGAACGACCAGTCAGAAAAAATGGTGGCTATGAATATCCTAACATTAGACTACAAAAGACTCAACGGCTCACGAAGAATACCACTCCCTTTATAAGTGTGATGTTTGAATGACCAAGAGAAACCAATAAAGATCAATAGTGCAAGCCTAATAGTACATGCTGTTATGAAACTAACCTTGATATAGAAATATCAATGCCTTTTGCATTTTGAACAAAAAAAGTCTTAAAATAACACAAAAATGAAAGGAATAAAGGCCAATGTTAGAAATGCATCATGGGAAGAGACCTCTTTTGGACTCCCCATGGTCAACAAACAGGCTCAGTAGAGTTCAATGCCACAGAAACAGAATACAAATGGACTTAAAGCAATCTGATCTTTGCGCAAACATACTGAGCACGTATTTGAAATTGAAGAAAGCTTCACAAGATTCTCCATCATTGAAACTCTATTAACATCTAAAACCTTATATAAACAGCTATTCCTTACCGACCCTTTAAAATATTATTTTGTTTTTCAAATTTTAATGATTTAATCGTTAATATAAGCATTTGCAAGTGTAATACGTCATAGGCTTTTATTGCTGTAATATCTATATTTTTACAGATTAAATTATAAAAATAAAAGCTGACAAAATAATTTTGCTTTCATACTCCATCTGCATTATTGATTGGGCGAAAAGTAAATACACGTAAAAGGCCTATACTAGAAATGACCGAACACCTCACTTCAAAATTAAATGTTTATTTAAACTGAAGAAAAAATTGTTCTTTCTCTAAGGGCCTTTTGTGCACATGGATTCATGTAAGATGTTTCCGTCTAATAATATTTTCCTTTTTTTAAACCTGTTCTCAACACTGATACGTCAAGCTGACTATCATGTGACCTCTCTATTGAATCTTGGGTAAATATTGAGAAATCAATACCATGGTCTAACAAGCTTACCATTGGTGTAGTTATGTAGAGTGAACGACCGGAAAAACGAAACAAATAATGATTCTTGCTGCAACTATTTTGGCTGCTTATTTTTGCCAAATCATAATTTAGGTGAGTGAATTTAGCACAGTATTGTTTCTTTCAAAAATGCCAAAAGAAATAGCATTTAGCACTTTCAAAATGAAAACATGATAAAGTCTGGCAAAGACAACAAAAATGTGGATAAGTTTTGTATTAATCTCAGCTGGACCCTCAAATCCTAGATCCGTTAAAGGGGGGGGGGGTCACAAGGGCGCTCAGCAAATCTGATGTAACTTTCACATCCAACACAGGTTAATGCTTATAAATATTTATCATAGATTTGATAAGAGTAACATATGTTTGCGATGATGATTAGGAAAGATGACAAAATATCGAGTAGTTCACTGATTCAACACACTCCAGCTTCGTGCAACCACTCTACCTCTCAACCTGCAATCATTTGGCTCTGCTAAAAATAACTAAAATAACCAGGGATTCCATCTCCCTGGTACATACACAGCTGATTTCATTTGCACAAAAACATACAGCTTTGTACATAAACTGTAGCTTGCAATGGGGACATGTAAAACTGTAAGTAATGATTAAAACTGTAAGTAATGATGAAATATATAATCTAACTGTCTGTACATTTATATAAAAGCATTTGTATTTTTGGTAATTTTGTTAAAAACAATGTGGTGCTTATACTA